CAAATGAACAATGGCGTCTCACTCTCTAAGCTCTACCTGAAGACTTGAGTGGAAATATGCAGCCGTAGCTCGGAGGATTGACTTCTTCGTTCTAAGCAGTCATTTAAAAAAAAAAAAAAATCACATCTGGTCATTACACTACTTCATGGTGCTCTACTTCTGTTCCGTCTCTTCACACGACCTCTTCTGCCTCATCCACTACCCGTGACCCGTCATCGGTTCCTCTCACTGCCCATTTTGCCTGGCGGCTGCATCGCCCAGGCGTCGGGGTGCCTCCTCTGTCCCAACCAAAAGTTGACCTCCTTTGTAGTCCTGGGCGATTTCGGCGTCGTTTTGCTCGTTTCTGTTCTCGTTCCGCGCGGGAACCTGGGAAGGAGTCTGGTCGGTCTTGGTGTGCGTGGTGTGCAACCGTGTGCAACGGCGATCGGTCACATAAGCGATTGGCTGGAGTTTTAGATAAGGCGAAAAGAAGAAAAGAACGGCTGTTGGGTTGAGTCCTACAACTTTGAGGTGAGCTCCTCTTTCTTCAAGTGTTGTTTCCTGCTCCAGCTCATCCTATTGCCTGATCTTTTTCAGAGCACGGGGGCTTTCGGTACCAAGCCTATCCATTCACTCAGGTGATCAAGCCAGGACTCCGATCGCACCTCAGAAGCAGATATTGTATACGTGTGTACTGTGTATATATATATATATATACATGCAAACATACAGCTTAACCACAAAGCTTAGTCCCCCCTGCTTCCTTTCAAGGGTTCAAGGTCTTGTGCTAACGGAGCTGCCCATCTGCTGAGAGTCTCTGTGCCATTTGAAAGCTGGATGGACAGGGACAGCAGTCGGCCCTCCTTGTGCGAATCCGGCATGATATCCTCAGAGGAGGACCCAACTGTTCTTACTGCGGTCTTTCCATGACGGTAGGATTCGTATCCCAGGGTCCTAGAGCTCCAAAGAAGGGCACTCTCCCGTGGAGCTAATTACACATAGGCACATAGGATACCATAGGATACCATAGGTGTTTTCTATGTTGGGAGTCACTAGCCCCGCAGGCTCAGAAGTCTGCATCCCAGTTGTGCTCGGCGCGTTGAATCACCAACCTAGGGCACGGTTCCCTTTGATCCTGTCGCTTCCTTTCTTTTCCTGCTCTCATTGGACTGAGGGTGGCACTGTATGCCAGTCGTAGTGACCGTTCGCATCGCTCTGAACTCTTGCAGCCTGGGATGAGCGTAGGAGCCGCTGGTGCGCTGCCTATGGCCTCTTGGCCTGTGCGGCCGTTGACTGCTTTTCCATACATGTTTGCCACTGTTCCTCTACCAACTGCTCCCCTTAGGGATAAACCTTTAGTATATGACAACATGACCATACCATACCTATGAAGCACCGACTTCAAGACTGCATATCCAAGGGCAGTGCACGCTGGCACCAAGGAAAGGTGAGTATGCGCTATGCTTTATCAAGAATCAAGTTGTAAATGTGTAAAGCCCCAGTCGTCATGCCGAGCAGGAATTCTACTCCCATCTCCACCCTTTTCCTCCCGTTGTCCCTTTCATCTGCCAAGCTGCAGGATAGCCTTGATTGCTGAGCATCAGGGATGGGGAGAGATCTGAGTAATGTTCAAGATTAGCTACTACTGCAAGACAAACTTGAAACTCTGAGAGCGTAGAAGTTCACTCTTTATTCAGAGCCGGACTTCCTCGTCGTCTGATTCTTATGCCAAAAAGCACTGGTTGATGCCCACAATGCCTGCTGCCTGATATCTGCAACTAACCACTTCCCGAAATCAAGGGTTACTAGAGTGTGCCTGCTGGGCTTGTACCAGAAACGACCGTGCAGTGTATAAACATGCATGAACTATATATATATATATATGGTTTAACCGTACCTTAAGTAATTATAACCTTCCACGCATGCCCTGGATTCATCTCTGATTGAATCTTGGAGATTTGAGGTCTGTTGAACCTGAAAATCAGCAGCAAACCCAAATCTCAAGCCCAAACCCAAACGCATCCTTCTTCTTGTCAGCTTTCTGCCCGAGTGTCTCACCAGATTGATCGGCTCCACGTCCCATAAAGGCCCCAGCTGCCAGGCTCGCGCATTCGCCTCCTCCGCCAGGCGCCACAAACGCTCGAAGAGCCACCGGAACCTCAGCAGGTTGGTTCACCGGGTGGCGTTCCGGTCGTTCGCGAAACGGGTTCCGTTCGGTTCGTGGGCGCGCTCCAACGAGCGCCTCTAGGCCCCCGTAGCTTCCAACACGTCCTCATCTTGGGGGTGGATTCTGAGCACAAAATTCCGCAGGCGATCGAAATGTTCACTTTTTCGAGGTGTTCTTATTATAAAAGTCAATGACAGTTATCATGAATACTATTGATGGATGTTTGCTCTTACGGAAATTTCCAATGATAAAGTCCATCATTTGTAATATATGTTGTATTCCATTTCTTAAAGAAAAGTGAGGTGAATAATTGACCTCATGTGGTTGGGGAGATTTGCTGGTACTCATGCACCGTTCTTTTAACTCAGACGCTGGTCAGTTGACGTCCCTCAGAGCTCTTGACGTCCCTCAGAGCCTGAATCAGTACCTCCCCTTGAAATCCGCTTGAAATCAGTGCCTTGTTCAAAAGCTTCCAGAATCAACCCCTACCTCTGTCACACAGAGAATGCAGCCCAAATGGCCGAACATCACTTGGGTCCAAGGTGACCATCTGAGCTGCACGGACCTTAGGCCAAGCACCTACCTGGGACGTCTGGCCTGCGACGTCCGAGCTTGTTTGAAACTTGAAAGTGACCATGTTCCATGAATCTTCGTCAAACCAGGTCTTCGGTTGCTTCTAACTTCTAAGAAATCAAGCTCCATCTGGCGTAAGTTACAAATAAATAAGGCATCTCGAACTGCAAGATACTTCCCATGGACCTCTTCCCATCATGCCCAGGACAACTAAGCCCAAGTCGTTTTCACGAAGTAAGCCGCTGGTGTCGCCAACCAGAGCAGCCTCGCCACTCAAACAGGGCCCCTTTCGAGAGAAGACCGAGCAAGACCTAAACCATAGGCCAGCATAACTAGACCAGCTCAGGTATCTCAAGGTCATTCTTTTGGGTTAGAGCCAGACCCACAGGCAGATCCTGCACTTGGCAAAGCAACACGTTTTCGTGTGGAAGTTCACCAGCGCGGCATAGCCTGCTGGTCCTGGAAGAGGTCTTGAACCTTCAGGCACTCCTCCATGGTCAAGGCTTCCTGGAAAGCCACCTGGAACGGCTCAAGAAAACTGAGTGACGTGAAGGAAGGAGCATTGTGACTGTGACTACTGATACCTGCCAAGACTGGAAGTACAGCTTCAGTAGATAAGAATCTATGTTTGGACAACATCATGATGTGTCAGCCATTTAATTATCTCTCTCTCTCTCTCTTGAGTTTGTTGTTTTGCAAAGAGGCTCTTTGGAGGATTCTTTTTTGACCCTGAAGAACATCCGGTGTAGAGCCAGAAAAGACTTCCCTCAAAGAGGGTCATGTGTCAAGGTGGATCTAGAAAGCACGGGATCAATCGTGTCGCAGCGGCTGTGAAATTCCTCTTGGTGACGCCCTTCACCATCTTCATGGATGTCTTCGCATCCGGCCGCCACTTCCTGGGTCCCAGCAGAGTGAAGGTCGAGTCTGGTCTTTCTCCCGGGCGTGTCGCACGGCACGCAGAAGTGAGACTCAAAAACCCAAGCTCCCATTGATTCGACTACTCACTATATATATAGCTATAACTATATCTGCTAAGAGTAACTATGACTATAACTATATGTATATGTAACTATGCAGTATATATGTGAATATATATATATATGTGTGTGTGTGTACGATCATAATTGTAATATGATGGTCCATCCAGTTTGAAGGTGGACAAATAGACCCATCCCGCTGAACGCCTGGAAGACCAGCAACCTTGTACCTCGCCGGGTCTTCGCGCTCTCACTTCGCGCTCTTCTCGTTTCAGCAGCGGGTCCATCGTTGAGAGTGCCATCGGGCCACCAGCGCAGCAAACACGACGGATGCAGCGCACAACCACCCGTAGGTGGTCAAAATGCCCATCCGATCTAGCGACGGCTACGACCATTCCAAGAGAGGCGCTTGATCATACATGTTTTGCCCCACTCACGTGTTGTTCTGAGAAAGGGATCAATTCCCATACATGCTGGGTTCCGCCTATCCATGTGTCCTCTGCGTTCTTGTTGTATCGAATACCACCAGAATACCCAAACATGTGTCCATCGAAAGCTTGCATGGGAGTTGCTTCAACTCAATGTTGTTCTGGCAAATATGTGGAACATTCTAGAATCCCCACATAGAGTAATAAAGCACTTAAGTCTTCTTCTGGTTGCAAAATCAAACTAGTGGCCTCTAGCGATCTTCGCTCTGACACACATCCAGGCGAACAGATGTGATCTGCTTTAGCTAAGGGCCTCTGAGACATCTGATGACAGGAATCAACAGGAATTGACAGCACACAAAAGTTGAGTAGCTTAATCCAAGCTCTGCTGCCCTAAGAAGCTGGATCGAGCATTCCCGATCGTAGTTCCAATCGTGCTCGTTCCATCCAAGATGGGTCAAAAGTGACTGAATCGCTTGCAAAGTGACTACCTAGAAAACATATTTATATATTCATATATACAAATATACACCCTTCATGTTCAAACCACATCTTGAGGGTGTTTTGTAGGTGGTGACGAACAGTAGGTGAAGCTAATCACGTCCAGGCAGGCTTGCAAGTTGCTCGGAAGGCGCTTCCTTGGCCGCTGCGAACTTCCATGTGATGAAAAGCATGGGTAGGTTCACTAACCATCTGTTCATCACAAATTACTACTAATTACTATAGCTACCCATTTTGTTGGCGAAGCGCCACTCCAAACTTTTGCGATCCCCCCCATGGTTTCTTCTCCTTTTGCCACCGGAGTGCGGAACGGCCGACGCACGGGACTGCACGGGGGATCTGCGATGCGAAGCGGTGCTCGGTGCTTTGACGTGTTGGATGGGATGGCCCAACACCCAAACAGACCGGGTCGCTCCTGTGATCGCCATCAACTCGTGTGATCCACACCCGGCCCCTGGTTTTGTCTCCACCCTTTGGACTTCAAATGAACCCCGAAAATTTTGGATGCTTGTGGATGTTTGGCAGTGGATGCTGAGTCGCTTGTCCCGGTTGAAATGGACTTAGCATACTTGTCACAACTCATCATGTTCCCTTCGTCACAACTCTGACCAAGCCAAGTCGTCCGAGCGGCCGAAAGACCCTTCGCCTAAGGCCACCTTCTGCATGTTGTACACATCCTGACAGCCGTGATGTCCATTAATGTCCACACCGATACCGGAGTCCGGCTCGACACGGGCGATGTCAGCAGCAAACTTCATACAAGTTGATTGGCGAAAATTAGAGAAAACAATGTAACAAGCAAAGCAAAAATGAACATAAACACCGCGTGCGATCAGAATGTTATTTTATAGACTTAGTTCCTTGCCAAATATCATCAAATATCCTATCAAAGGGGTGGAGTAGTTCGAAGGGGATAGCGAAGTACCACCTGTACAGCCTCCTGCAGTTTCCCGTTGGATGCTTGCCTCCAAGCGCCCTGCATTCTCCCGTGTGAAGTCATGGTCAAAGACAAAGGGGCCTCGTGCATGCGCATCCCAAAGCGGGCGGAGCCGCCTTTGGGCCCAAAACCCATGTTCCTTTGTGGGTTGCACATTGCATAAGTTCTTGATGGTTCTTGGATCCAGCTAACATCGCCAAGGCCCGCAATGGCCAAACAACTAGCTCTATATTGAAATAGGATGGAACCCGATAATCCAGACCTCGACATGTTTGATTTCCCAGAATCTGTGTAAGGATCATTAAGGATCCACGTACTTGACCAAAGCCAACACAATCAATGGAGCAAAGCTGCAGCAAAAAGCGCTTCACAATCGAAAATCAAACACCCCAACCTCCTGGACTCTGCACTTCATCAAACATTACCCTTTGGGACTCCTTCACGGCTTGCCTGCGGAACTCCCAACTCCATGTGCCTGAGGAATTCCGGTACAACGCCTCCTGAGAGGCCTCGGACGGTGAGGCCTCGGAGAAAACGAACGGACGTCCGGGCCTCGCCGGGTCTCGGAAAAACCGTAGAACGCTCGGGTCCTTCCGTGAACGGGGGGGGTTGTTGGGGAGAAGGAAACCGAGGTCTTGACGCGAACGAGAAAGCACGCGTTGTTTCGGTGGGGGAGACCGGAAAAAATAGCCACCGTGGACCAAGTGTAGCGAAAACACGAACAACGAAACAAACAGGCACCTGAGTTGAGGGATCCTGTTTGTGGACAAGTTCAGCCTATTAAATCTGTTTGGGGGGCTGAGTCTTCCAGCATCAGGGCTCGCCATGGCACCATGGGTTAGACATGGAGAGGTCAAGGTAGAGTAAACTCAGCTTGGTCCAGCTTGGTCCACTGATGTTTTAAGATCTTCATGTCATAATCACGTCCAACATCATCCCATTGTCATTGGATTTGATTGCATCATGTGACATTGAGTAAGAGTAAACCCTGTTTACTGGAGTTGGGCGTTCATGCTCGATGTCGCGGGATGCTTTTTCATGTGTTGATCCTCATATTCCCAGAATGTGTTCTTAATGTCTTGGCAACTTTCTCCTGAGGGAAGCCATTCTATGCCTCTACCTCTGAGCTTGGAACCAGCTGGTTTTGCAAACTGGCTTGCTGAGAGTTGCTTGCACTTCTCATTCATGCTTTTTGATGGTGATGATGCTTGAAATCATGGCAATGCGATGGCCAAAGACTTTGAAATGGCACACCGAACCGTGCGATTGGTTCGAACATCCATGACCTTCCAGACCCATCAGGGTCTGGTCCAGACTGGTTTTCCCAAACGTGGCGATCGTGCCATGAGCATCCCAAAATGCCATGCGGGATGTCATCCATCTTCTCATCCATGTGGCGGTTGTTTGACTTAGCCATCTCACGAACCGCCTCGTGGAATCCGAAGAAGATGGCAATGTGGATCGACCATGTGGATCGACCAAGAAGAGTCCGAAGATTCACCCCATGATGGCAAGCTTAACCTTGTGTGGACACAAGTCCTTGTTGCAGAGTCATGAAGCCCTCCAATGAAATGTTGTCACTGTGGGCGATTTACCTCTGCTAGCTGTGGACTGTCTAGCACTGCTA